GATGGAAAAAACAATTACAAACTTTATATGGAAAGGAAAGAGGCCAAGGATAAGCAAAGCGCTGCTTAAGAAGAAGAACAAGATCACTCCCTGATTTCAAAATTTACTACACAGCTACAGGGATCAAAACAGCCTGGTACTGGTATAATGAAAAATACATTGATTAATGGAACAGAATTGAGATTCCAGAAGTTAACCCATCCACATACAGCCAACTGATTTTTGACAAATTACCTAAGCATATTGCATGGGGAGGAGATGGTCTCTTCAACAGAATTGGAAAGCGATATACAAAAGACTGAAACAAGACCTTTACCTCACGCCTTACACAAAAACCAATTCAGCATGGATTAAAAACCTAAATGGGAATCCCACAATTACAAAGGCCATGAATGAAAAAAATAGGGAAAAATGTGAGAGCTTTAATACAGGGCATACACAGACTACCAAACATTTTTAAACTTAGACAAACAAAAATAGACAATATAGATCAATGGGACATACTAAAAATTTAAAACTTACATCAAAAGAGTAAAAAGGGAGCCCACAGAATGGGAAAAAATCTTTTGCAACAACACATCAGACAAGGGACTAATTTCCAAAATATATAGGAACTTATAACACCTCTAAAAGAAAAGGACAGATAACCCAATTAAAAGTGGGCACAGGACATGAATAAACACTTCACCAAGGAGGAGATCCAGGCAGCCAATAAACACATGAAGAAATGTTCACAATCACTAGCCATTGTTGTTGTTGTTGTGTGCCGTGGAGTCGATTCCGACTCATAGCGACCCTGCAAGGGTTTCCAAGGCTGTAAATCTTTATGAGAGCAGAAAGTCTCATCTTTCTCCCACAGAACAGCTGGTGGTTTCGAACTGCTGACCTCGTGGTTCACAGCTCTATTCGTAACCACTACACTACCAGAACTCCTTACGCTACCACTAGCCATTAGAGAGATGCAAATCAAAACAACAATGAGATATCACCAGCAATAATAGCAAAGACAAAAAAAAGTAGAGGGCAAAAAGTGTTGGCAAGGATGTGGAGAGACTGGGATCCTCCTACATTGCTGGGGGAATTGCAAAATGGTCCAACCACTCTGGAAAGCAATATAGCGCTTTCTCAGAAGACTGGAAAGTAGAGATACCTGATGATCCAGTAATTCCTTTACTTCGTATTTAGCCACAAGAAATATGAGCCATAATGCGAGTAGATATATGCACTCCAATGTTCACAGCAGCACTATCTACCATAGCAAAAAGATGGAGACAGCCTAAGTGTCCATCTATGAAAGAATGGATAAACAAATTTTGGTATAATACACACAATGGAATACTATGCTACCCTGAAGAATAACAAGGAAGCAGCAAGCCACCACATAACATGGATGAACCTTGAGGACATTATGCTGAGTGAAATCAGTCA